TATGTTGAATTTGCATATATAACATTAACCACTTCGGTAAGGGCGTCGACTATAGGCGACGGATGAAAACAGCCGAGCGTGTTCTTTAATATGCCGGCTGTGAGCAACGTCTCGTGTGAAATAGGCGCCGTACCAAAGTGGTTAAAAGTAAAGTGTCATAGAAAAATGAATTAAAGAGTATGTGTAAAAACATTTTATTACGACTTGTAACAAAATCATACCCTTTAGAGACCACAATATTTGTATTTATTTAAATATATCACACGCACACAAATATATATATATATATATATATATATGTATATATATATATATATTTATATATATATATTTATATATATATATATATATATTTATATATATATATATATATATATATATATATATATTGTAGAGTTTCGAACAAGAATCCAAAAATAATACAAAATAAAAAACAAGAAAAGTTTTTAAAAAAACAATTTCTTTATTTAATTATTTGTTTATTGTCGACGTTTCGGAACTAGGTACGTTCCATCTTCAGGACATCTGTCAAGAAACATGATCTTGATGAGATTTTAGCAAACAATATGTTTAGGAAAAGAAAATAGATTTTTCTTAAATAATGAATTAATTGCAAAAAAAATATAATAATGTACAGAAATATGATAATATGTTCAAAATGAAAATGATAAAAATGATAAAAATAAATGAGTGGATTATCAGAACAGGATATTAAACATAATAGAAAATTTTTTGAAAGTTATGGAAATTTTTTAAGAAAAGGTTAATGACAAAGTTGAATTAATTACCTGTATGTTTGAATATTTCTTAGCACTTTTTCACTAAACAAGCTTTTTTAACAAAAATGAATTTGTGAGTTAATTCATTTTTGTTAAAAAAGCTTGTTTAGTGAAAAAGTGCTAACAAATATTCAAACATACAGGTAATTAATTCAACTTTGTCATTAACCTTTTCTTAAAAAATTTCCATAACTTTCAAAAAATTTTCTATTATGTTTAATATCCTGTTCTGATAATCCACTCATTTATTTTTTATCATTTTTATCATTTTCATTTTGAACATATTATCATATTTCTGTACATTATTATATTTTTTTTGCAATTAATTCATTATTTAAGAAAAATCTATTTTCTTTTCCTAAACATATTGTTTGCTAAAATCTCATCAAGATCATGTTTCTTGACAGATGTCCTGAAGATGGAACGTACCTAGTTCCGAAACGTCGACAATAAACAAATAATTAAATAAAGAAATTGTTTTTTTAAAAACTTTTCTTGTTTTTTATTTTGTATTATTTTTGGATTCTTGTTCGAAACTCTACAAAATATACACAAATCCAAGACTCTACCATTCAATATATATATATATATATATATTTAATGAGCATCAGTAACAACACTAAATTGCTATCCTATCTGACAGTAATAATATTGAAAGATTAAAGATTAAATTAGTGCATAAAAAAATTAATCAAATATTTGTAACCATCACATGTTTGTTGCTATGTTTAGTATCTGTAGCTAAATGAAACTAAATACGAAAACAGTAGATACATTCGAACTACAATAAAATGATTAGGATAACAATTTAACTTAAATACAAAATTGGCCCATAAGAATGCATATAATCTCATAATAAACTTGAATTTCTAGTGTTAATATTTATGTAAATATTATATCTAAGATATACTTAGTTCTTAAGCAATAATTTCACTATTTTTGTATGAAATGCATAAAATATGGAAAACAATAAAACGATGATAACATTTTAAGATTGTGATCAATATTATTAATGCAATGCATTAAATTATGAACAGTCCATTATATTATAAACTGATTTAAGATAAGTTATTCTATTAGCGAACCACAGATTTTTTAAAACATTTTTATATTTGGTAAAGTGATATATCGTGAAATAATAGATTCAGTGATAAATAATTGAGCACAAATTATTATAAAAATTAATGAGCAAAAATCAAAAACTGTTGTCGTCGTTGAGAGAATCTACGATTATGTTAGAACTTCTGTATATATATGCATATATATATATATATATATATATATATATATATATATATGTGTATGTGAGTGTGTGTGCCTGCAAAAACAAAATATGTTTTTGTCCACATAAATATTGAAATATTTTTTTAAGCAGTTGGAACAATTTATCTAATTGTAAGCATTATACAAATATAGCACCAGCATTTTTGTAAAAAATGCGTAAATACTTTAAAGTGGAAGCGCTATTATTAAATCTATATGCGTAATGTACTAAACATAAAACTAAAAGTAGTCCTACGTATGCCTTATTTTTATATAGCCTTGTGACAAATATACAAGGCAGTATTGGTTCACAAATTGTACTACTCTCACAGCCGTTTATAGTTTCTTAACAAAAGAAAAGTTGTTCCTCTGTTTTCGGAAAAAGAGAAGCAATCTATATATATATATATATATATATATATATATATATATATATAATATGTGTGTGTGTAATTAGCACATTTAAATTTACGAAGATAAGTAGTGCCGGTAGATAGAGAAAAAATTATCTCTTGACTTGATTAACATATTTAAATTTATAAAATTTATGGATGTCTAAATATGATTGCACTGAAATATGTAAAAATCAAAAATTTATAAATATTTGTAATTCATAGTACAACACTTTCAAATGTGCAACATATAACACCACCAATAGCGCAATTCAATCCATAGAATGAGCTTAAGTGAAATTATGAAAGTGTTGATACGCAACCATTAAAAGTGGAAATGTTCATAATAGTTCTTATTGAAAAAACTTGAGTGTATCATTTCAATACATATAGTATAGTTATTTTGATATAAATAATTCGCAACTCTTAAATCGTTTTTCGTAATTTTCCTTACAATGAAAGTGAAGCAACTAAACTATTTGTTGGATATTCTAATCTAGTAACGAACAAAGGTATTAATAAATACAGCAGTCTTAAAGATATAACCATCGTCGCTCCCTTACTTAGCTTAATAAAAACTTAATATTCAGTTTTCCCGATTTGCGCAATTTGTTAAATACTTCAAAATGTTTATCAGATCGATATATTCTCAATTATCCAAGAAATTGCTCCTGCCACATAAAGATTTAGGTCTAACACTAGCACTTTCTGATTTCTTCGTTCTTCTGGATAATCTCTCGTGCGATTTCGATCTGCAGATGGCGTTATGAACACCCACATCGACCATAGAATTTCGAATCTGATCAGCTCGAACTAATCTTTGTTTCGAACGAGGAAGAACGCTAGTAGTTTCACATGAATCGGTTTTGTAAGCGGGCTTTTTATAATTCCTACTGACAGAGGAAAAAGTAGAAGGCAATGTTGTTTCTGAACCTAAAGAATTCAAGGAATATTCGTCTTGTTGTCTAGAGAGATCATTGAAAATAATTCTTTGATGTAATTTTGGCTGCTGGTGATGTTGTCTAGACAAGGTACTACGTTTAGAAGTGGATTGCTGAGTGAGACTTGTGTAACTCACGTACATCGGTTGCAAAGCTAAGTGACGCGGACTTTTCCCGTCTCCAGCCAAGAAATCAACTGAAAGAGAAGAAAACAGTTTTGCTCATCGAAAATTTATGATTTCATCAACTCAGCAAGGGTTCCTACGGGCAAATATGGAGATTTTCCCAATCAAATTTAGAGATAATGACGGTTCCCAAATCAAATTGCTACTATTGCTCCTGAAAAGTACCTTATCACTAACTAATGCTTCCAAAATGGTTTCATTGCGCCCATAAACTGAAAAATAGACTAATTTCTATAAAATCATTAATAAGTAAAATAAGTAAAAAAAAGTTAATAAATAGCTGAGAATATAAGGCTTACTTTTCAAAAAGAAAAAAAGAAGGAAACGCTGTGCTACGTATCATTGAAGTTATATCGAAGCCAACCATCGGCTTTACAAATGACGCAGCTTTTTTAAATTGTATGCACGCATTATTGACAACTCACATATAAAAGATAACAAAAGAAGAATTAAGAATTGGCAAAGAAGTTGTCGATTTGTCCAAATGCGAGCCAAAAATAAAATAGAAGAAGTTTTACAACATACAGAAGTCACCAAAACATTTATAATATAAAATCTAAATTATTTGTCGCTTATATAATATTAGCGAACAATTTTGATATCGTTATGTTAAAGGAATTAAATAAATATATAAATACATTAAATGTTGTAGTTCCTAATTATATAATTGAAAATTTAAAACGTAACTTATTGTCTAATAGATATCAATAAATAAAATACAAATTTACATGCTACTACTACAATAATTTATGTATGTCCCGTATTCTGCTTCATAACCCAATAAAATAAAAAAAACGATTATTTAAACATGCATAGCATATTATTAAATCCCTGAAATAAGGAAATCTGATTTGACAACAAAGCAATAAGATAAGTTAGTTACGAAGAATTTGAGATGCGGCAAATATTTTTAAATAATTTTTCAGATATCATTAATAACTTATACACTTTGTTCCAATTTCTAATAAGAAAACTAAACGCAATATAATTAATTTCGCTATCGATTCGCTGATTGATTAGTAATTTAATAACATAAAAAATAAATAACAATGGATGACCAGAATGTTAAAGAATGTTGGATGACACCAAATATACATATACGAGTATACTATATAGATTGAGTTTATTATATAAAAATTTCGTATATTTATTGTCAGTGCATTTACTCCCTCTATCGCTGGGATATTAATCAGTCACCAAACTGGACATGAATCGACCACGATAAAGCATTGAATAACTAAAGCACACCTTTCAATAACAATCATAAATTTCCATGGTTGATATTTTATTTAATATAAAAAGTATTTAAAAAACAATAGAGAAATAATCGAACAGTTGCATACGTATCAAAAATTCTTGCGCATTGCTTTATTATCAAAATCAGAAATTCCTTCATAATTTTACGCAACGCTCACCAAAACAATGAACAATCTTATTAGCGCAATCATTGTTAGTTGTGCGTATACAGAAAGTGAATGAATGTGACCAGTTGCCCGACTAGACTAAAATAAGGCTACCAGGTCACTAAATATTATTTACTTTTTTGGTTAGTATCATTATGAATTGATGGCATTGCTACTTACAATGGTCGTCGTCTTCAATAAATATCCTGCTCAAACATATGCCTGATACGAATCCGAGAAACTGCAAAAAAATTAGAAAATATAAGAACGCACAAATCGATTCCAATTCATTTCACTTGATCAAAATCATTAATTAGAATATAAAAAGAAGTTAGTCAGGTAGCATGCATTGATTGTATAGATATTTTGCTCGTGTTTCTTCGTAAAATTCAATACAAGATTTTACGCGATCTAAAATCATTTTAAGAGTCAACCAAATACCGGTAATAACGCATTTAAAAAAAGGCTTCCGAGAATATGTTATTTTTTTGTGCTAAATTTTTTTTTTTTTTTGATTTATTTTTCATAGCAAGCTATACAAAGTACATTTGTTACTGTTTTGTGCTGAAATGTTGGCACAATTTTCCGCAATATTGGTGCAAAGTTTGATCCTCATTCGTTAATTATTTTGTTATTTGTATTCAATTATGGAGGTTAACTACAAGCATGTTTGGCGATTTTTGACAAGGAACAAAGTTACCGAACAAAGATTTTGTCTTCAATTGTGTGTTTTGAACGGATTTTCTACGTTGAATCATTGAATATTATACATAAAGCCTATGACAAGTGAATTTTATCAATAATCGTGGCTTATGAGTGGTGCAAGATATTGGCAGAAGTCGTGAAAGATCTTAACGGAGATCTAGCCTTCAATGGATGAAAACGTCGCCTAAATCAAGGAAATTGTGTTGGAAAACCGGCATTTAGAATCAATAAAGTTATTTATTATAGCACATCTAACAAATCAATCACACCATCGCATTGGGCTTGGGGCTCTTTGCTGTTCAACACATTCCACGAGTATTGGACTTTTTTCCCGTAAGGCCCATATTGTAAACGCTTTTTGGCCAAAAAGTTTTTAAAAAACTCATGAAATATCATAGGATCATCATAGTGGATCAACCACTGTATTCACTAGATATGTCCTCCTGTAAATTATTTCTTTTCGCGAAACTTAAATTGCCAATTGTTAGATATTGCTTTGGGTCGATAGATGCCACTGAAGAAAAATCGCCAAGAAGACGAAGGAGTTCTTTTTAAGGCTTTGTTGTCGGCATGTGTTCATTACTTCGAATAAGGTCCATTTCAAAAGAGAATGATTCATGAATGAAAAAATTGATGATTATGTAATTATATAGAGTTTTGTGCAATAATTCACGATACTTAGTTGACAGCATGTATTCAAGGTCAAAGACCGTAATATCCTGCAGAATGTTAGTACAATCCCTTTCTATGACTTTAACTCACATGCAATATACTGAACAGTTTAATGAATGACTCCTTTCAATAAACAGTATTTAAATTCACACAATTATAAAATACCAATTCTTACAAATTAATGAACGATAAAATTTGTGAGATGTGTCTACGAATGATAGCAATGATGACACAAACTTGCTATCACTTACTTATTACCATAATAATTACACTATGGAACTTTTTACTTTAAGTCGGAAAGGTCTTTGTAATGCATTTTCCCACTTATGTACGGCAATCCCCATAATTAGCTAAATATGTCTTGTCTCAATTACTAGAAAAATGATTATAAGCCGAATGTATTATGATGATTTAAATTCATATATTAAATTACAACTGCACAGGTCGAATTAATAAAACAGTTATATATTAAAAAAGTTAACGGGATACGCGTAATCATTTCATCAACGACCATAACATGCAAGGGGCAAGCATGGGATCTAAAATATTTACCAATGAGTCTAATTTAGACTAGCAGACAAAAATTTATGTTAAAATAAATGCTAGAACATGCACGTAAAATATAACAAAGCCCAGGTGAACGGCAACTCAAATCATAAAAGTTTAACATGAAAAGTTTAAAAATTGGAAACATATTTTTAATCCGTACAATAATAAAAATTTATGATATAATAATATTAACTTACAGCTAGTAAACATTGGATGGCAGCTTGGCAAATTTCCACATGCTCATATTGCACCAGACAATTAGTAATGGACGTCGGCCTATATTGCCTGGCAGGGTCGATCTCATCAGGAGAGAAAACCGCGTTACATCCTGGGCCATTGGCTTCCCACCAGCTCACGCTTCCAGTGCCCATATTTAGTATAGAACTTTCCTGAAATATTATGAGATACGGAATTAAGCGATCAACAATATGTGCATAATTAATTTTTCATCAATTGCTTCAGTTTGATTTAGTAATCATTATACATTTACTACAAATTGCTCAATGATATTTATAAATTTTCTTGTTTGATCATTTTATATTCATGCTAATTATTCATTAATGAATCTTATTAATTATTTTTTATTCTAAAAATTTATGTTAAAATAAATGCTAGAACATGCACGTAAAATATAACAAAGCACAGGTGAACGGCAACTCAAATCATAAAAGTTTAACATAAAAAGTTTAAAAATTGGAAACATATTTTTAATCCGTACAATAATAAAAATTTATGATATAATAATATTAACTTACAGCTAGTAAACATTGGATGGCAGCTTGGCAAGAATAAAAATTATATTTTTAGAATACATATTACAAGTTTTCAAGTATAATTGTACAATTTATTAAAATATATATTAACTTCCCGTAGTTTAAGTTATAGTAATCATCCAAAAATCAAAAATAAAATTTTGCGTATCTTTAAGTTTCAGGAGTTTTTGAACATTTTGGTATACCTTAGAAAAAAAAGATGTATTTGTGTTTGTGGGTCGTCCACGATTTCGGGCGCATGGATCAACCGATTTGAATATATAATAATTAAAAAAACATTCGATTCTATTGTTGCGGAAACGTGCTGATTAGATTTTAGCAAAAACTGTCTATCTGTTTCGGAGATACGGAGCAGGAAGTGCAGAAAAAAGAAAGTGAGTGTTTGAGAAAACAGAGCATCCGATTTGAATGATTCAAAAAATATTCAATTCGTAATGATGGGGAAACGTGGTGATGCGGGTCTACCCGTTTCGGATATACAGAGCTGAAAGTGCTAAAAATGTCAGGTATTGAGAGAACGAAGCATCCGATTCAAATGATTCAAAAAACATTTTGCTTGCGTTGACAGTGTGAGGAGAGGATTAGTTTTTGGGGAAGGCAATTACTTTTTTATTTCCAATATATATATATATATATATATATATATATATATATATATATATATATATATATATATATATATAGAACCAATATTATTGTTCATGTAGAACAGATTGCAGAATTTAAATAAAATAAAACAAAAAAAACTCTACAATTCATTTTATATAATTCTTATAAATATAAGATAAGGTCCTTTAATTCTAACTCCGCTTGATTAAGTTCTGTTTATTTGCTTTTTATGTAAACATGTATAAACAATTTATAAGCTTATATATTTTGTCTATAAGAAACGAATAATAAAAGCTACAGTATATATGATAATCTATTTGAAATCGTTTAAAATTTCTCGAACATTTCATTATGGTACGGGAAGTTCCAGCAATTTGCCTTAAGGCACGATGCCATGCACCACAAGTTTAATTATTAATCTACTTCTATTGCCAGTTAGTATTATTCAGTATTACGCAAATAAATTCATTTATGCATCCTCACTATAAAATTAGTATTATTCTTGTTTGGATATTTTTTATTCTTATTTATATTTTACTTTTACGTAATTATTTTAAGTTATTATTCTATCACGGATGATTTTTTATGATTTAAGAATCTGCTTCTATTCCCAATTAAGATTATTGTGTATTACGTGAATAAACTCATTAGTGTGTTTACACCACAAAATTAGTGTAATTTTTGTTCAATTGATTATAATTTATCTATTGCTTCTAATATTATAGTATAGTTTAATTTTTTATAATTTTATAACAATTCTGCTTGTGTTATCAATTCTGAGAATTGACTCGTGAATAAAATAATTAATGCATCTGGGCAACAAAGCCAGTGTTATTTTTGTTTTAAAGTCTATCTCATTCCAACACCGATAGCCGTACGGTCCACCTCGTGTTCTATTTCAAAACATTATTTCAGTGCAGTTCAGTTTACCTTTTCACCTGTTAGTGTTCAAATAAAAGACTCCTATCAGTGAGTGTAGTTCGGGGTTACGCAACATGGTCCCCATCGGAGGGGACAAAGAACCGGTCATACCTATTGTTCAATCGTTTAATGTTTTGAATGATATGGATTACTGCAGATCCTAGTGAAGAAATACCTCTAGCAAGCGGATCAGGTTTGATTTCAGAACCTATACAAAATAAGGCAATAATTACTCGCCAATTAAGTGAAAATTACTTTTCAAGACAAAGTGAATTCAGAAAACAGATTTCAATGAAAAACGATAAAAGTATAGCTATTTGATCACGTTTATCTCAAGGGAATTCTTCAAATTCTACTGATAATAACAAAGATCTCAATAAATTTGACGTTAACTGATTTACTCATTCATCGGAAGAGAACTCACCAGCATCATAAAATCTTAATAATATGGAATACGATACACATTCTTCGAAACAACCAGCTACTGATTCTAATCCTAACCCTTGGCAAGTATTCACGCCTAAAAACGAAAAACTTCTTATGTTCCTTTACAAATTAATATATCTACTAATAAAAGATTTTCTACATTATCTTCAATAAACGTAGAAGATAAATCCCCTACTGTATCAACCATTAATAAACCTCCACCAATATTTGTTTATAAAGTTAAAGATCCCGCTGACACGTTAAACACATTTAACACAATTGTTCCGCCAAATCAATACCATCTGCGAAGCCTCGCCAACAATACATTTAAAATCATATGTCAAACAGTTGATAATTTTCGTGAACTCTCAAAGTATTTAAAATAAACTAATGCCGTTTTTCATACTTATTAACTAAAAGAAGAAAAGGCATACAGGGTAGTACTCAGGAATGTTCATTTTTCTACAGATACGGATCTGATAAACACAGAACTACTAGAACAGGGTCATGTTGTGAGGAATATTCTCAACATAAGACATAGATTAACCAAAGAGCCTCTGATGTTTTTTGTGGACCTAAAGCACAGTAAAAATAATAAAAATATCTACAAAGTTTATAAAATATTAAATCATATAATCAGGGTAGAATCACCGCGTAAATCCAGCAACATAGTGCAATGCACACGTTGTCAATTGTATAATCATACTAAGGCCTACTGTAACAGACCAATCATATGTTTAAAATGTGGTGAAAATCATAGAACAAAATATTGTACTAAAGACCATAATACTCCAGCCCACTGTTAGCACTGTGACGGTGCGCATACTGCTAATTATAGAGGATGTAGCTTCTACAAAGAAAATATCGAGCCAAGAAGTAGAAATCTCTATAAAGAATCAAATAACGTCCCATACCCCACACCTTCAATCCGAACTAAAATCAATTCACAAAAGTTTACCGCAACTCCTAATCCCACTAACTCCTCAGTATCCTATGCAAACGCAACTAGAAATCCAACCACGGACTCCGATTCTACCACTTTATCGTCTTTTCTCTCAGAATTCAAGACTCTTCACACTCAACTTATGCAACAATATAATCTTGTTATCAACATGTTAACCACTCTAATTAATAACTTGAATGGCACGCTTAATTAAAATCGCTCAATGGAACGCAAACGGTTCAATACCTCACAAATATGAAGTGGAATGTTTCCTGAAACTAAATCATATCGATATTCTTCTCATTTCGGAAACCAACTTTACTGAAAAAACATATTTTAAAATTCAAAATTATATCACTTATAATTCAAACCATCAAAGTTGCAGTGCCCGAGGTGGATCAGCATTATTATTCAACAGAAGCTTAAAACATTTTGCACTTCCGAATGTTCAAGAAGAATCCATGCAAGTAACACAAATTCTATTAGAAACAAGACTATTTGAAATAACCATTTCTGCGATATATAGCCCTCCAAAGTTCAAAATTTCAGCTAATGTCTATTCGTCTTTTTTGAACAACTGGGATTCAAATTTATATTAGGAGGTGACTATAATTGTAAACATACAGCTTGGTGCTCCAGGCTGACAACTTCGAAAGGAAAACAACTTCACATGGCAATAGCAAATAATAATCTTCTCCATATTTCAACAGGCAGTCCTACCTATTGGCCCTCGGATCCGGACAGAGTACCAGATCTTCTGAGTTTTTTCATAATCAAAGGTATCCCCACAAATAATTTTGACATAGAGAGCAGCTATGATCTTTCGTCAGATCATTGAGCAATTGTGTTAACATTTAGCACAATTCCTGTCACTGAACAACCTTCAGCTATCCTCCACAACAAATTTTCAAATTGGGATCAATTCAGGGCTTTTTCCACATTCCAGACCGAAAAATTCAGCTGATATTGACTATAAGATAAACAAATTCACAACAGTTTTAAAAGAATCCTCAAAGTTAGTTACACCAACCTGCCGCACAATTTTTTTTAATTTTTTTTTAATTTTTTTATTATCTCTTTTATTTACAACTGTCCAATAAAGGACATTCAATAAATTTGATGAAATTACAATAGTCGGCCGAAAAGAGACATTGTATACTACAAGGGCATTAATTTCGCAGAAGAGAATAGCAAGAAGGATATGGCAACAATCACACTTGCCACAAAATAAAACCAACTCTCTAGGACATTACAGAACAAAGTAAAGGTATGGAAAAACGACGGTTTCAAGATATATCTACTGCAACTTAACAGGTTTGATAATTCCATTTGGAGGCCAATCAAAATCGTAGGGAAACCAACACTAACAAACCCGCCACTAAAGATTCGATCTCTGAATGGATATACATGGACGACAAGAAATACGGAGAAAGCTGAAGCTTTTGCAGATCACTTGCAAAATATTTTCACCGATACAAATCTGTCCCAAGGTCCAGTCTGCAATAATTCGTGGCAATTAAATATCTACTCACCTCGAATAAAACATTTCACTCCAAATAATTTTGCAATCAAAAAATTAAAAAACAAGTCTTCCCCTGGCATCGATAATATCACTCCAAAGATGCTAAAAGAATTGCCAAAAAACTTTTTTTAACCAATATATACAATGCAATTTTCGAATTCAACTATTGGCCTACAGCTTGAAAAACTGGAGAAA